AGGAAATTTTAATTTGAAGCATCAGTATGTGGCAGCTTCTTTTAGACCCAGCCCTGAGCACAAAGGCCCCTGCCAGACAGATATAAAGGGCCTGTCAGCTCTGGGCGGGTCTCACTATTTTCACTTTTCAGTAGTGTGTTTCCACTGAGGGACTATCCCTAGTGTGCCCTAATTTACTGCTCAATAAACCTGCTGTGCTGACTCCTCCTACCTGCTTGTTCAGTGACCAGGCACATCTTTAGAATACAATGCCATTTCGCAGTTAGATCTTTTCCAGCTCTAAGAAGAAAAATGGTCCCAAATCCCCTATGTACAGGTTTATTGCTTTTGCGGGAACACCCAGAAATGTGCTCAGGCAGCTCCCCAAGTATCCCACCTAAGCCCACTGCAGCCAATCTGATTTGTCAATCTGATTTGTGAAAATAAAGCTGACCAAGAAAAAACAGAAGTTATCTTCAAACCTCACTCTAAAAGGGCCACTGGTCAGAAAAGGGTAAAAGCCCCCCAAACCTCCAGGAGCCTGATCCACCTTCCAGAGACTTGCTTGGGGTCTCCAGAACTGGACAGGTGGCTCTACCCCTCTATGTCCTTTACAGAATGTGGTCAGAGGCAATGGGTTCATACTCTAAGTTTAGGAGAAGTGCAGAGTTTCTTCAAATATTAATGTTGTATGTTCAAAGAAGTTGCCTGTTTTCAATATAACAAACACAATGACTATTATCTAATTGGCCTAGCTATAAAGGAATGGGATCCTACTCCTACACTGAAAAGATGGTTGGGATAAATCACACAGCCAACTGATAATGCTTACATAAGAGTTAATTGTGCAAGTGAGGTCTACCAAGAAGCAATATATAAACACATTGAACAAGTTGATTTTTTGCAAAGCTATTACTTAATACTTTTTATTAGTAGTGTATTTTAATTTTTTCTACTAACAATCTAGTCTACCTTTTGTTATTGTTTTTAAAATCATTTTATTGGGGGCTATCACAACCCATACATACATATATCCATGTGTCAAGCACATTTGTACATTCATTGCCCTCATCATTCTCAAAACATTCGCTCTCCAATTAAGCTCCTGGCATCGGCTCCTCATTTTTGTCCCTCCCTCCCGCTCCCTCATGAACCCTTGATAATTTATAAAAGATTATTTTTACATTCTTATACTGAC